ACCCTCTCGTACGCCTACGCTCATATTGGAGGCGGTTGCCTCAAAAGATTTGTACCTTATAATGAAACGTGCATTATCATTCACAATATGATCATTAAAGGTGAGCGCTATGTCAATGTTGAAAGATGGACTCCACCACCGGAGGAGACAATCTCGATTCCCACTTTAATCCAAAATTCACCAGTCTTAACGGCACACATCTATTCTCGCCAAGTCCAAATTCGCAACAAAGAAACAAATACGCGGTTGAGGAAAGATTTAATTGAAAATTTGTGGAACCGCTTTGGTGAAGAACGTGTTTAATTTATGTTACATTATTTTATTTTTAAATTGTTATGAAGTTTATATAATGGAATATTTATTGTGTAATGTTTTATTTTGAAATAAACAATTAAATTGTTTGTTGATTAAATTATTTAGCCAATATGTATAAAATCTTGTAAATAATACAATATCTAATAACATTTGACTTATTCATTTATAGTGAAAACAAAGACATTTTTTTTAATAAGAAAATCATATTTTAAAATAAATTTCAATTTGTTAGGGAAAACAAATAAATAAAAAAATTGTTTGGTTAGCCAATATAGCCATTAAGGCACTGTTTGGGTCATCCAAATAGTACCTAAAATGACTATAATGTCAATATGAACATTGAAAATTTTGAAAAGGAAAAAAAATCATTTTTTTTCAATTTTTTAGAACTTTTTTTTTGCTAAAAAAGCCAAACAGTGTCTTAACGTTATATTGGCTAACCACTTTTGTTTGAAAAGGAAAAAAAATCACTTTTGTTTGTCTCAGCTAAACAGTGCCTTAACGGCTCTTTGGTTCAATTATTTTGAGAGAAAAAAAAAGGGGAAAAAATAGATAGACCAAAATAAGCCAAAAATCTGAATTTTAGCTTTTATTTCAGCCAAACATGTCCTTAGAAACAATGTTCTGGGCCTGAATTAAAAAAATAAAGAAAACAAAAATGGGCCCACAAAAAGTGAGCCACAATCGCTTTCACAGTTGCCCTTTTTGGCGATCTGTTTGGCAATAAAAAATAAGTAGTCCACTTTTTCGATAGCCCATTGGAGCAAGCAGTCTTCAAAATTTGGGCCAATTTCGCCAAAGACAGCACTAATGGAGCTGCTGTCAGCAGTTGAAGATTTGTTACTTCCATGCAGGTAGGTTTAGCATAGGAGTAAAACACTATAAATGCTGAATATTTAGGCCAAATAATCTTTTTAATTCCAATTTATATAATATTTTTATTTGGTAAATTCCATTTAATTTTTTCCATTCACATTGATTAGTTAATTAAGTACTCCAAATTTACTAGAAGTCTTTTCGAAATGAAATAGTGAACCGACTAAACAATGCGAATTCAGGATAAGTACTAGAGATTAAAAAAGTTATATTATGTGAACAAAATGACTATTATTAGATAGTTTAAAATGAATGTGAGTACTCTGAATTTCCAAAAATTCATCAAATATGTGACTGAAGTTAATATTTCTTTTTTATATACTACGTATACATTTATGAGTTGATCTGTTCACTTTGAGGACCAATTTATAAAAAGAAAATCAATAAATATTTGGAACAAAAGAAGACACTACTAGGCACTTTCCTATGATTTGGCAATAATCCCCTCTCCCAATTTAAATATCATTTTTGGAGAATAAGATTTTTTTTCTGAAAAGTTATTAATTTGACTTTCTAAATTTTAAATATTCAAGTTTGAAAATTTAAACTCCAATGATATATATAAAAAGATGTCAAATATATTTTTTGGGAAAAAAAATGACAATTATTTTGGAAAAAAGAAAAAGAAAAAAGTATGACATTGTTGTTTTTGGGTGAGAAGGAGTATTACCCCAGCCATTCCTAAGGCCATCCGCAGCGAGGCTCTTCAAAACCCATTTTGGGCGAGCAAATGAACTGTGTCAGCTGCAGCGGGCTAGCTATAAGTGGTAGGGCCCATTTTTGCTCGCGGGCCGGCTCTTGGTATTCAACGAGCCGGCCCGCAATCTCTGCCTTCTTTATTTTTTATTTTTTATTTTTTTATTTTTTTTCTTCAAAACAGCGCAATTTTGGGCTCTCCCTATTTTGTCTTATTCTCCGGCTTATGCAAAGTGTGCCAAATAATGTCTTAAGGCACTGTTTAGCAGATTTTTTTTAAACCTAAAAATAAGTTATTTTTAGCTCTTTTTAGAAAAAAAAAAAATTAAAATAAAATTCATTAAATAAAAAATAAATTGTTTAGGCACTATTTATTTGAAAAAAAAATTATTTGGACAAAAAATAAATTCAAAAAGCTTTTTTTTTTTTTTTTTGCTTAAAATTTGTTTTTTTTAATTTTTAATTTTTTTTGGCTTTAAATTGTAATCCTTATTTTCTTATTTCAATTCATTATTTTGTAATCCTTATTTATTTAGGCTAAAAATAAATAAAAAAAGCTTTGTTTTTAACACTTTTTGTAAAAAAAAAATAATAATTAAAATTACAAATTCATCTACTTATTCCCATAGAATTTTGTAATACTTATTTTCTTATTCCAATTCATTATTTTTAATCTTAAAAAACCATTACAGAATAAAAATTATATTACACGAAATGTCATAATATCTTAAAAACAAACAAAATGCAATATAAGATGAAAAAAATAGCTGTTAAAAATATAACTGTTTAGGAAAAGTTAAAAGAAAAAATTAATTTTAATTTATTACTATTATTTTTTTTGAAGAGTAAAAATTCAAAGAACCTAATTGGGTACATGTTTTTTAAAAGCAAAAATTACCGAGGTGATTCTTAAAATTATTAATGTGATGTTGTTAAAGAGTCAAAATCCAAAAAGACCGATGCACATGGCCTAAAAGCCAAAAGACTGCCGCTAAATGCTAATAATTGTTCACTAAAAGTCCCATGTGGCTGCACGAATTTCAAAATATGACCGAATGATAGCCAATTTATGTTTGTCAATAATGTTTTGAACTGTGTTTTTTTTTTTTAACAAAATATATAATTGTTCACTAAAAGTCCCATGTGGCTGCACGAATTTCAAACTATGACCGAATGATAGCCAATTTATGTTTGTCAATAATGTTTCCTTTTTTTTGACAAAATAAGGCTACCTCACGCCAGTGAAGAGTTGAAAACAACTTAGATGTGTTTTAAAATATTTTCGAGTTCGTTATTTTAAAAAATATTATATTCAAATGTGTTTAGTAATTATTGGAAGCGTTTTTAATAGTTATAAAATTTAACTTAGTGAAACTTTTAATGAAGTTAGAATTTGGGCCTTTAAAATTGTGTTATGAATAGAGGTTAAATATTTAAAGTAATTTTTTTTCAATCTAAAAATTTTGTCATTTTTATTTTTTATAAAGACAATTGTACTATTTTCTTAATAAAATGTTGTAACATAAAAGGATATTATTGTAAAATTAGGATTAGAAGTGTTTTAAAAAAATATTATTACCAAATAAATTAAAAATAATTTAATTGAATAAATAAAAATAATAATTTAATTGTGAAAAATACTTATTATAATGTGTGTCACCAAACACCTAAAATATTTTTTTACTAACAGCAATTTTTTAACAGCTCTACTAATAAAAAACTTTATTTTATTTTATTTTTTCTTTTTCCAACAACAAATTCAAATGGAACAGTTACATAATATATATATATATATATATATATATATATATATATATATATATATATATATATAGGCATGTTTACAATTATTAGATGTTGGTTTAGAAATAATTGAAAAAAAAAAAAAAAAACACTAATGGGGAGAGACTAACCTCATATTTTTTCTCGCAAAAATAATTTTTTAAGAGTCCGTTTGGTTAACTAGAAATTGATGAGAGTGAAGTAAAAGAAAATAAAATTTATTTTCTATTATGCATTTGGTTAGCTTGAAATCTTTTAAGAAATATGTAAAAAAATATTATTTAACTATTTTGGATAGTAAGAGGGTGAAAGAAAAATAATTTTACATGACGAACTTACTCTTATGAATTTAATAGTAACTAATATACATAATGCAATAAACAATAAGTAAAATAATAAAAATAGTAATGAAATAATATATACCATTAGATTTATGAATATATATATATAAACTAGAAAGAGACAACCAAGTAAGCATCTGGACATATTTATTTTATTTGGAAATTTACATTATACATAAGTACTCTGCTGTCAGATTAATTTATTTTGTTTTGTAAGTGCAGCGAAGAGACAGATGGGACGTTTCAACTGTTTACTGCTCAAATTGCATTTCTAGGATCATCTAAAACTGAAACCTCATTGCAAATGAAGAGACACACCACTGTAAAGAAGATTGTCCAAGTGGTAAGGCCAAAATTTTAGTTATAACAGAACAAAAAAAAAAAATCCTTTTATTCAAGGCCTTTTTCCCTCTTTCTCTCTCTCTCAAAAAAAAAAAAAAAAATCATAAAATACTCGGTTTCCACAGCAAGGACCCACCACGATGGTTAATGGAGCTAGATTAGATGGTGAATGGGAGACCACCATTGTTTTTGGGTGAACCGTGATGTCTCCCATTGAGTTCAACCAAATCAATCAATTGGACACGCGCCAAAAGCGCGTGTTTAACTCACAAGATTAAGAACAGTACAAAACGGCGCGACTTAAAACAAAACAAAACAAGACAAATGGTTTAAATTTCAAATAGAGAACAGTAGTCGTCCACGTCGGCTCACACAGCTTATATACGGTGCCCTAATATATATATATATATATATATATATATATTTAGCAGTAGTATCATTTTCATCTCTCTGTACAATTGAAGGAGACCTAAGAAGCTGTCTCGCTTCTTCTCTCTCCTTCATCCAACTCAAAATCAAAACCGATCTCTCTAGTTTTTTTGTTTTTCCCTTCACAGATTGAAAGAAGCTTAGTCAATACAGAATCAATCAAGTCAGCACATAAAACATACAGTTCTCTCAAATCGACTCGTCGAAGTTCTGGTAATCCCTAATTTCGCTCCTTTTGGAGTCCGATTTCATTTGGATCTGGTCTTTTTCTCTTTTTCTGGGCTTGGTTTGGGTATGGGGTGTTATCCGATTTATCAATTCTTGTACTAATTAGGGAATCCAATTTTGTTGGGTAAAAACATGTTTTTTTTTTTTTTTTGGTAATGATTGTTCGGTTTGTGCTGATTTTTAGATGGACAGGTATGAGATTTGAGTTTGAAGTCTTGTAAGCCATAGTGGAGTGTGGACCTAAATCAACCAAATTTTCTTGTAATTGAATACATGAATCCCTTTTCAACCATATATATTTATATAATAGAAAAGGAGAAAAAGATGAACACAGAATTAGAGTGTGGTTTTTTTTACATTTAATGACAATTCAAGACTATAAACCTCCTTTGGATTTGGTGTAAATGAACTATCTCATGGTTTGTAATATTATGTAGTATTTGGTGGTTTGTAATGTTTTGAAGGTAGCTTGATTAGTTTTTGATACATTTGTGCAATTCAACAATTTGAATGAGTCCCATGTGCTTTATTGTGACTGTGTAATTGTGATTGAGCATCTTTTTTATTTTTTCGAATTCGTAGATTATACATCCATTTTTTTTTTTCTTTTTATTGTCAGCTTCTTTAATTTTTATTTGTTGATTTTTTGTTACTAAAATTGACTGAGATAAAAAGCAATTTATATAGTCGGTTCTAGTTGCATATTTGTACTTATTCGGAAGCAAGATGGGGTACAAGGGATAATTCTTCATTGTTGTTGTCATTTGTTTCCTTGTCAAAAAGATTTGCAAAGACAGACTGAAAATTTTGTCTGATATGACTAATTGTTGAACCTCTTTTGGAAGTTGGGGAAAGGGAGGAGAAATACCAGTAAGAAACCAAACAATTAAAGCAGCAAATGGATTCTTAAGTAACTTATCTCAAACAACTGGAAAAGATTGCCATGGGTCAAAACAGCAGCGTCAGCTTGATAAAACGTGAATTAGATTTGGGAAGAAAGGATATTGACCTCTTTTCAATGGAGAAAAGGGCTCTGAATAAGGCTGGATGGCAAAGAAGAATTTGTATAGCTGATCCGTGCTGTTTGGAAGTTGGGATCAAATCCTTCTTGTTGTATTATTATATTATAGCCATGATCAACAGTTTGCTATAACTAATGTTGATGTAGTCAATTAAGATCAGAAAAGGAAGTTTTGTCTTAAAGAACACAGACAGGAGTTACTGTACTAAGTCGTCATCCTGTGAAAACATAATTCTGTTATTGGGAATAAACTAAGACGTGTAAGATGTACTGGTGGAAGAAATTATCACTTGATGTATTATATTACAATGGTAAATTGCAGATGAAGGTTTTTGTTGGGACTCAGGAGCCAATGAGATCGTCCATTGTATTTTGATCTGCAAGCGCATTAGGATTTTCCCCTCCAACCTGCATGCTTTTGGTTCTTTCAGGAGGACTCTGATTATCGCTTTGTCTTTCCAAGGTGTGCCTCTTCTGAGTGATTTAGAAGAAGAAACACTTGTGGCGAGTTTGCATTTGGCCAATGGTACAAGAATCCAAGTGGTTTTTTGGTACAACTAATAGAAAGGAGAGGTACTTTTATGTGTATGATTTTCATCAAGTCAGTGGGTAATGTGGTTTCCATGAATTTGGTTTTTAGAACAGTATATGCTTTCCAGTAATCTAACTTGGTTTATCCATTAATTTAGGGATACAGCGAGGAGTTTGTATTGGTATGGCATCATGCTGATGTTGCCAAGACATTGGGAATATTCTCGACCAATTATTGTACTTCTCGAATATTTCTTCTTCTCTACTCTTTCCAAATAAATCTGCAGTTTGAAGTGTGGTGGGGGTTGCTGCTGGAGGTCGTAATTGACAATAAAGTGTTTAATGGCAGGATTTTGAGCTTTTGTGAAGTATGCTTCTGTCAACTTCTAGCCTCTGCTATCTATGTGAATACAATTTTATTTTTTCCAGGTCATTTTATATATTAGTTGCACCAGGATTCTTATATCGCAAATTCGGTAGTCTTTCTTTTCCTTTTATCATGTATTTTACCTTTTATTATATGAACTGGTGTTAATTCTAATAGTTTCAGTATTTTTATGGAATAAATTTGGAAAGAAGTTTGATGGAACACAGATGAAATTTCTCTTATTTAAGTTATTAGGATGTGATGTTTGTAATGGCTTTGTTCAAGTTTTTAATGGTTTAAGATCAATTGTTTTATTGCATTCATGAGCCTCTCTGCTTTTGTGCATTCTGAGTTCGTACTTGGATTAGTTATGAGTGTGAATTGTTCTAGAGAAACTACTTATTGTCAATTGTTTCCATTTCATTTCTCCTAGTTTAAATTATCCTGCTGCTGCCTTGTGGGAGGTGCCAGACGTCTTGGTGTTTGTGCTGTTATATTGACATCTCGACATGCCAAAGGAAAGAAGAGATCGCTCTGTGTCTTTTGATAGGTCCAGAGCATCTCCTTACTATTGCAGTTCTAGTAGTCGCTCAAGACGTTCATTACCCAAAAACTCTTCCAAAAGTGAGGATAATGTGAAAGAATGGGAAGATGCCCGATGTCCCGTTTGTATGGAACATCCTCATAATGCAGTTCTCCTCCTATGTTCTTCTAATCAGAAAGGCTGCAGGCCTTTCATGTGTGACACAAGTTACCGGCATTCAAATTGTTTTGACCAGTTCCGCAAGTCATTTGCAGATACCTCACCAGCAGTGTCACCACAAGTGCTTCCACAAGGAGAAACTCCTCTGTCAACCACGCACATAACTCGCACAATGACTTCAGAAGCAACAGTTGTTGATTTGCAGGGTGAAAGAAGCGAGGAAGGGTCCACCTCCATGCATGCCATGTCTTGTGAGAACCAAGCGAAGGCAAAGCTGGTGTGCCCTCTCTGTCGTGGGCAGATAAATGGGTGGATTGTTGAGGAGTCCGCTCGCCAATTTATGAATGCAAAATCAAGAAGCTGTGCCTGTGAGACGTGTGATTTCAGTGGCACATATACAGATCTGAGAAAGCATGCAAGGTTAGTTCACCCCCTTGTGCGACCATCGGAGACTGATCCAGAACGGCAGCGTAACTGGAGGAGGTTGGAACGGCAGAGGGATCTTGGAGACTTGATTAGCACGCTCCAGTCTTCTATTGGAGAGGATAGGAGTGAAGAAAGCAGTTTATCTTTTGACGATGGGGGTTGGCTGACCGTTTTCTTCCTTATTCGAGTTTTCCGACGCGGGAGTAATTCAAGGAGCAGTAGCTGGTCTGGAACCTCGAGAGCCAGAGCACAAGTGACTGTCAGGAGGAGATCAACAAGACTTTGGGGGGAGAGCTATGATGGAGATACTGTCTCTACATCGAGGGACGATGATAACGAGTCTTCAGATGGTGGGTCAGGTCCCCGGAGGCACCACGAGCGAATCCGGCGACAGCCAACACCAGACGATGAGGCGTGACTGCAAAATTTTTCAATTTGCTTAATTTTCAATTTGCTTAATTGTAAGTTCTGCTTTAGTTCATCCATTATAGCTGATCTACTTTTGTGATTAATTATCCTTTGATTATTGGATTGGGCACAAGGAGTTCTAAATATTTTTGTTCATTTTCAGGTGGAACAAAAGGGAAGAAATTGCAAGTTCTGTTGTGTATGCTTTAGAATCTGTTTCACCGAGCGCGAAACAGATACTGGTGTTGCGGACTTGCAGCAATGTGAACCAAAACTCAACAATTTGTAATTTATTTTTAAAAAAAAACATAATTTACTTTATATACCTTTTGTTGGTGAATCTATGTTGCTCAGTGCTTTCTGGTGCGCTGCAAGTATTTCATTGATTACATTTCGATGTAATTTGTCAATCTTGCACTTGCTTGGGTTTCGATATGACAGCAGAGACAATCAGGTCGTTCTGTCATTAGGCCTTTTGTTGACTATTATTGAATCCTTGTTTAACAGTGAGTAGTGGTAAAATATATATGGTTATGCTTTGACTTATTCTCTAAATTTCAGCTGGGTTCGATTGACATAGTTGGGGAAAAGTTTTAACCTTATTCTCTAATTAAGCTAGCCATTGGGTGGTACTTGCTATCGAAGGAATTAACAAGTTATTAGGAGAGTCAAAAAATTTATTAAAAAATTATTTAATTTGTACCGATCTAAAAAATAAACACATAATGGATATATCTCTGTATATATGGAATTTCATTACTTTGAAAATACAATATTTATTACTTCGACAATATGCATGCAAACAATACTATTGAACATATACAACCCGAGTTTGGATTATACCATACAGTTTTTTTTGGTGTTACATTATGGTTTAAGATTTTGTATTCCGAAGTTTAAAATAATTGCGTAGCACAATATAATTATTTTTTTTGAGAAGATCTGAATGTTACCAAAGAGTTAGCAAAATTTGATGATTAATCTGACAATTGTAGAACACATAGAATTTATGAAGAAGCCCAACACTTCAAAGCATTCCGGTCATAAGATTCTTTCTTGTGAAATTTGTACCTCTTACAGAAGTAATGTTATAAAATACTGATTAGTATTTTGTGCGACTCCAATTTGTTAGTTTATGGTGCCGGTTTGGCGTTGTTGTTGTTGTAAGGTAAAAATGTTTTATCAATGAAGTTGTCATACAAATGTTGTTAGTAAAAAACATATTAGGTGTTTGGTAATACAATTTTAAAAACTCTTATTTCTAACTTAATTGAAGCACGTTATTATTATTATTATTAAACCTTTACTCCCTAAAAATGCATTTTTTATTTACTAAACACTATTTTTCAAATTGAACATGCTTTTGCGTGTTACAACCGCAATTTAAACCAAAAATTTAATACTTTCTATTTCATTCAAATATGGACTGTGTTAACACTAGTATAGGAAAAAAGATTCTTTTCTATTCAAATAGGGACTAAGAATCTTGTTTATTGAACACTAGTTATTAGAGTGTTTTTTTTCTTTTTTTAAAAAAAATGCACTATTTATTAGAGTTGAAAATGCCTTTATTGCCTATTAGACACTAGTTATTAAAGTTTTTTCCTATTCTTCTAACTAGTTTTTTTTTTTTTAATGCTATTCTTCTAACTAGTTATTGGAGTAGAGAACGCCAATAGGTGTCGGTAGCATCTAAAAATTATCATATGATTCAGAATCATTTTTTCACACTAATTATCATTTGACACCAAAATAAATATGTTAAGAATATAAATATATTTTTAATTTAGGTGTTAATGGTGCTTAAACCATTAATTTCTCGCGTAGTATGGTAGCAGTACGGTTTCTCATTATATTTTAGCATATGCGTTTTTATTTTTCCACTTTTGCCCTTCCCCATTGTCTCCAAAGCTCCAACCTCTCTTCTCTAGCCACCAAGATCGATCCCAGAGACTCATTGTTTGATTGTCGAGAAATTGACTTGGAAAGAGAAGTCGTTTTGAGGATTATTTCAAAAGAAATCAGGTATCAAATGGTTGCAGAGAATTCCTCGAACTCAACTTCTGAATACAATGGTGGTGGTGACAACAGCACCAATTACGAGACCGAAGTTGTGTTGAATGTGTATGATCTCACACCCATTAACCAGTACAGCTTCTGGGTCGGTTGCGGAATCTTCCACTCGGGTATTGAAGGTGAGAAAATTCAAGTGTCTAAATTTGATTAGAAACACACATGTATATGTATTTTTTCCCCCTTTTCTTTTCGTTCTGATAATGTGAATTAGGTTATTTCTGTTTCTCAGGATATTATTGTCTCTGTACAGATTAGTGTATTTCCTGACACATGAATTGGGTTTGGGTTCTTTGATTTAATATTTGGATCAAGTTGTTAGAACTTGAAGGTGAACTTACTCGTGAACTTATGAATTGGGTTTTTCTGTGGTGGTTCTTGTAAAGATGGTTTGTATTTAACAATCAATAAGGATGATTTATGCTAGGCTTATGCATTGTATTGTTGGATTTAGGGAGGTAACTTTCTTATGTTGAAACGAATTGCATCTAGATTGTTGCAGATATGATGCTTGCTTTTTATGTAGGAGTAGTAATTTTGGTAAAGTGACTGGTCAACATTCATGTGATTGGCGACACAATTACATAAGTGACTATTCATATAAAATATCATTGATTTATGTTGTTTGGTTATAGCTGATTAGCAAGAGATGTAACAAACAAGCTTTTTTAAGGCCAGTGGAATGCTTGGGCAATGTAAACACATTGGAGAGTTTTGTTACCAGGCAGGTGCCCTAAACATATGTGTAATTATCTAAAGAAGAAAAGATGAAATCCAGGTAGATGGAGATAAAAAGAATCTTTTGATCCTCCAACGATCTAGCAAATGACTTGGGAGCACTACGTATTTGCCTTATTTCCATATGCATGGGGTTGATCGCTAGTTTTGAAGAGTCCATGTGACATAGGTCTCTATTCCTTTCTATTGCCCTCTATCTCACCTGCCATTTTTAACCTTTTAAAGTCATCTCTAATAAATTCATCCATTAATTTTGGTTGTCCTCCCCGTCTTTTACATTCTATGGAAATTAAACTTGCTCTTCTCACCGGCACATTTATAGGTCTCTACTCTCTAGTGTATGTGCCCAAACCACCTAAGTCTACTCTTTCTAATTTTTTCATTGATGGTTGCCACACCTAATTTTTTTTTTTCTTGCATTGTCATTTGTGACCTTATCTCTTCTAGTCACTCCAACCATCCTTGACAAAAAAAAAAAACAAAACCCAACCATCCATTTTAGCATTATCATTTCTGCTACATGAAGTTGTTGTTCTTGTTTCTTTTCTAAAACCCAACACTCTGCTCCATAAAGCATGAGTTGGCCTAATAACGATCCTATATAAATTTTCTTTTAACCTATGTGATGCCACATGAGATGCCACTAGCTTGTCTCCATCAGTTGCCAGTTGGGAGCTCTAATGATGGAGTCAATTAGGGGGGACTTCTCTTAAATTTACTTCAAGGATGGTGGAGGGTGGGACAGGTCTACCTTGGAGGAGGATGTTTTCTGTGTACATTCTCTTTTGTGTTCAACTGCATCACGCCCAACTGTGTTCGACGACGTCAATTTGGAATTACTTGGGAGAGTTTGTAATAGGCTCAAAACACAAAAGAAAACCAAACAATGGATCCCTATACTTCGGCCTATCAAGGCCAATAAGTTCAAGTGATTGTTGAGAGATAGGGATTTCTCCTCTTCTGATGTAGGATAGAATTCTGAACAGTTCGAAGTAGTTCCATAAGTCCGTTTTCGACAAACCAATAGTGTTTTTTGGGTGGAAACGATGCATTGAGAAAAACCCACTAGCTTTAGCTTGCGGGCCATGCTGGTTTTCGGCTGAAAACCTTCGTTTAGGGCTCCGAAATCGCGTTTTATCGTCTTAAACTAGGCCTGGTAATTATTTTGGGATTTTTGTTCAAGGCCTTAACGAATTGCTCTAAAATTTTAGATTTAGTATTTTTTATTTATTAGGTTTCTTATTTTATTTTTTCAGAATTTTTAGAGAAACTTTATTTTTAGGCTTATTTTCCTTTTGTTATTTGGTTTCTTTATATTTTTAGTTTCCTTCTAGTGTTAGGCTTTATTTTATTATAAATATGTGTACTACCAAGTACATAATTAACTTTTATTCATTCAATTATCAATAATATATTAGATTTCTCTGAATTATCTATTCGTTTTGTGGATTCAAAACACATACTTTGTGGATTCGAAGTAAATTGTTCCTTGTGAACAAAATTTATTGCTTTCGCTTACGTTAATTGATATCAGATACTTGTCTTTTCTTGGACTGATGGCAATTGATTGTTTTCGTGGCAATCTCGCTGGCGACAAAGACCGACAGAGAGTGGCTCTTTTCAGAGTCAAATTTCAAGGCTATCAACGTAAAACCCGGCGGATGTTGCTAGATATTCAAGCAATGCTTGCTAGGTTTGAGTTGGAGCATAACCGTGATAACAACAGGTTTCTTAATGTTAACGAAGATCGCGTTCATCCTGTTCGGAACCATAACCCCATCCCGCCGCGTAGGCAGCCAGCCGATGAATTCAATGATGATGATGATGATTACCCTGAAGACGTGTTTAGGGGTCATTAAGACACGCGAATATATTATAATCATGGGGATTATATGATCCTAGGAATTTTCCTCCTAGTTTTGATGGTCTCTTTCATGTTGAAAATTTTCTGGATTGTCTAGAAGATTTTGAGAGGTTCTTTAATTACATGGAAATTAAAGAGGAAAATAAGGTGGTGTTGGTCGCATACAAGTTGGAAGGAATAACTTTTAATTGGTGGGAACAATTGCGAGTTTCTCGTGCACGACAAAGAAAAGTACTGGTACAATCTTGGTTGAAGATGAAATGTCTTTTGCAAGCCAAGTTTCTTCCACCTTACTATGACATGAGAAGAATTTTGTTATTTCACCTCTTGTTGTTGAAGTTGATGCCGTTAAGGAATTTAACACGGCAAAAGAAGGAGATGGCGACAAGAAGTTTGACATTGAAAGCTAAAAATATGAATTAATTGATGACGGGGTCAAAGAAAATTTTAAATTGCATGTCCAGGTTTTGATGAATTTGAGATTCAAATTGGTGAAGGATCATTATTTTAGCAAATTGCAAGTGAAGATGCTTTTATTAAAAAATGTGCTAATGAAAATATTTTGGTGTTGTGCTTTGGAGATTCTCATGGCAGTGGATAATATGATTTTGTGGTAGGCAATAATTCATGTTGTTCGCGGCCAAACTCGAGGACGAGTTTTTTTGAAGTAGAGGGGACTGATGTACGATAGAATTATGAATAGTTCGACAAGCCCGTTTTCGACAAACCAATAGCGTTTTTTGGGTGGAAATGACGCATTGAGAAAAACCCACTAGTTTTAGCTTGTGGCCATGATGGTTTTCGGCTGAAAACCTTCGTTTAGGGCTCCGAAATCGTGTTTTATCGTCTTATACGAGGTCTGCTAATTATTTCGGGATTTTTGTTTAAGGCCTTAACGAACTCGGATTGCTCTAAAATTTTAGATTTAGTATTTTTTATTTATTAGGTTTCTTATTCTATTTTTTTCAGAATTTTTAGAGAAACTTTATTTTTAGGCTTATTTTCCTTGCGTTATTAAGTTTCTTTATGTTTTTAGTTTACTTCTAGTGTTAGGTTTTCTTTTATTATAAATACGTGTAGTACCAAGTGCAGAATTAACTTTTATTCATTCAATTATCAATAATATATCAGATTTCTCTTAATTATCTATTCGTTTTGTGGATTCAAAACACCTACTTTGTGGATTCAAAGTAATTTGTTCCTTGTGAATAACTTTATCGCTTCCGCTTACGTCATCTTCTGAGGTTCGAATGCCTTGTAAACAAGGACTTTCAGATTGCAAAGATTGATGGAAAGTAAGTGGGAACACTTTGAATGCAATGAAACAACCAAGCATTTCATTAACTATTAATGTACATTTGAGCTAGAGATAAACTAAATTTACACTAGCAAAGCACCGTAAAGAACTAATCTAAGCAACTAAGCTATTCTAAGGAATTGAAGTAAAATGATTTGTGTTGATGAAGTTGTCACACGCGTGTCCCCACTAAAATCTTTAGTCTTCTCTATCTCTTACAACCGTTACTAAGACTAATTTTTAACGATTTAAGCTGTGGTAACAATCTAATTCGATTTATTTCTTTTTTATTTTATCAAATTAATTTATTAGAGTGTTGATTTCAGTATTTCGTGTTTTATCTGATGTATTGCAAACATTTCCAGTCCACGGCATGGAATATGGATACGGAGCTCATGACTACCCTATTAGTGGAGTGTTTGAAGTGGAACCAAAGAGCTGCCCAGGTTTTATCTACAGATGTTCCATTCCACTGGGCCGCATTAATATGCCTCCCGCCGAATTCCGGATGTTTATTGAAAGAATTGCTACCGAGTATCACGGGGATACGTATCACCTCATCTCCAAGAATTGCAACCATTTTACAGATGATGTCTCGTGGCGACTGACAGGCAAGGGGATCCCTGGGTGGGTGAACCGGCTTGCCCGGCTAGGTGTGTTGATATTTTCTTATTAACTATTGCTTCTTCTTCATTTACTCTCTTGTTTCACGTTTTATATGTGTTATGATGTTCTGGGATATTGTTGCAATCAGCTACACTTCAGCAGTTAAGTAAAAATATCTTTACATTTGTGTCTATCTGTGCCTTTTTGTATTGTCCCCGCAATGATCAATCTACAGTATCATATTTTTCCAGTAAAAAGTTTCTTATATAAACAAAAATCTGAACATAGTTGTTCAGGGATATTTTGGATGCGCAGGATGCCCCATGGAAATTTGAATTACTCCATTGTAATTTTCATGGAATCTCTGTTGAGACATTCTAGTTTATTTTTTCACTTTTAATCACAATATAAATGAACATGTTTAATGTTTTGTATAGGATTGTAGTGTCAGGAGTTGATTGAGTGATGCCATATCACTTTGTTTATTACTTCTATAATGGATTCTATCATGTGCAATGGTGGAGATGAATCATTCTTTTATTCTTTGATGAATCTTCACGTGTTAATAGAAAAACACTAAATGATTTAATTTCCATGGGACATACAAAATCCACCTGATGTTGCCGGCTTTATTTGTTTCTTTGACTTTGAGTATATATTTGCTTATGGCGCACACATTGATATATATATTTTTTGAATGGTAGCGCGCGCACTGAATTTTTTTGTAGTGAGAAACATTTCATGTTGTTGAAACATTTCTTGATGAAAACTGTGGTACAGAACTGTGGTCATAGGTTTAATTATCTTTCCTGGAAATTGATTAAACTCCCACTTAAAAACTCATAATGTTACAGTTATCTGCTGCAAAAGAGATTAACCAAGCATTGTTAAAAATCTATTCTCTTTATTTAATTTGGTCTTTATATATTCTCATAATCCATAAAACACAACAAAACTTCAACATGCTTCTGGTCCAAATTTCAGGTGCTTTGTGCAGTTGTTTGCTTCCTGAAAGCCTTCAAGTATCTACTGTTAAACAACTGCCTGAGTACCATGCATGTACAGGTATTTGGTTGATCCTTTTCTAGAATTCTCCCCTTAATACTGTTCAACTTTGCCTCTAGTGTATGTAGTTGCTCCACTGTTGACATTCGTGTGTTTTTTTCTCCACTTATTGCATCCAGAAGAAGATGGGAGCGAGTCTTCCTCAACCATCTCCCCTCATGAACCAACAGAAAGTGATGATGGGGATCAAGATAAGCTCCTGCTGTCACCATCTGCCGGAAGCTCGGGAGTTGCTTTTATTAAGGAGGCCCAGAGGTGAAGTTAATCTGCCTTTTGTAATATGATTTTAGGGATTTCGAGGATGGAGGAAGAGATTTCTTCTCACCATCATATTTCTTTAAGAAAAAAAAAGGCTCTTTGGAGGGAAAGACCTGCTCATCATTTTTATGGCAATTCTGCCACACCATTTCTTATTGCTTCTACGCGTTACAGATTGTGTGATTTGTTTTAATATTTTTCCCCTCCTTTATTTTGTCCCAATTCTTGCCTTCCTGTTTTAATTGTTTGTTGGAAATTTGTAACTGAAGGACCTGGAAGTAGAAAGAAGTGGATTGTTATCAACGATTCTACGAATTTTGTGTATTCGACTCTGAGCAATTGGATTTGGCTTCTCCACCGTATTTAATCATTTTATTGACTCAATCTAAATCTCTGTCTTGGGGTTATATGTTTGATTTGAGTCCGGATCTCATACCAATTTAAAATTTAAAATTTTCATCAAGGTATGTCATTTTTTACCCGTAATGTTATTTACTTTTCTATAATCAATTATCTATATTTATTCCAATATTAGTGTGTGATCATTGATAACATTTATATGTATTTTTTGTTTTCCTAAATTTACCAAGCAAGAAGTTTGATTGATTCAATAAACCTTTTTTTTTTCTCAAATTGTGGAAGTATTGTGGAAGCCTGATTACCATTTTTTTTTTTTAAAAAAAAGAAAGTATTGTTGAACCGTGATTTCTATCCGTAATGTAAGAATTTGGTGGGAATAAGAAAAATATAAATAATTTTATATCAAGTGCCAAAATAATTTATTAATAATACCAATTTTGTATCAAGTACCGGAATAATTTTCAAATAATACCATGTAGATTTAGGAAAGATAACATGAGTGAGAGATGAAAGAATGAGAGGAGTAAAAAATAAAGAAATTACAATATCAGAAATCCTAACTTAGTAGAGAAGGGTAATAATGATATTTAAAAATGTAAGAATTAATAAGTTAGGGTCTTGGAACTTTTTGTAATTTTAGTTTAGGAGAAATAGAAAGTGAAGCGTCTGCTCAACATTCTAGTTGAAATGTTCGGCCTAAAACATTTCAGCCATTGGATGTTATAGAAAGGGACCCACACAAAGATCTACAGCATTGACTAGAATGGAGCATTGATAATACTTAAGTCCAACAATCTGATTAGAATGGAAAATCTATGGTGTTATTTGATTACTCAATTCAATATTTAATTATAAATAGATTAAACACTTATTTAATTAAATGCGTTCCATAATGTAATTTGAATATTACTGAAAACGATATGCTGTCACTTAAAATGGAGTAAAATATTATGTAATAGAGATATAACTTATCACTGAATATTGAAAATTCGAAAAAATATCAAAAAAAAATATTTATTTTTTAATTACCACTTAAAAATTAATACTTAAAATTCCTTTGGAATTGAGACGTTAGTTGGGCCAAGGCCCTTGGAATCATTGATCATTTTATAGATGGAGTCCATTGAATAGTTGGAATATATTCCATCCTTGTGATTGGTTAAGGCCCAACCCTTGTGTTCATAAATTTTAGGACCGATTGGTCCACTATATCAAGACTTACACCCCACCAGATAGATTGAACGGTTCAGATCAAATACATGGCGCCCAATGGATGAATCACCTATGGGGTGCACAGCAGTACCCTGAACTGGCGATAAACTTGAACCGGCTCGGATAGATGATATATATCTGCTGATTGATACACCTGATTTTTATATACCTCTCAATGGGGTCCACAATGTAATGAACTGTATGTATACTAAAGTCTGCTGCCCTAAGGATGCCTCTCCCTCTCTCTACAACCTAGTCATTTTCTCTTTCTAGGTGCAAGGCGACATGGGGAGCTCAGCGAACGGCGTCGTCGGCGACCGCACAACCACCCGCAATGGCGGCGCCACCGTCGATAAGGGCGTCGACTTTGCCAACTATTTCTGCACCTACTCCTTTCTCTACCACCAGAAGGAGATGCTGTCTGACAAAGTTCGCATGGATGCCTACTACAGAGCCATTTTTGAGAACAAACATCACTTCCATGGAAAGGTCTATATAATATAATATATATATCTCAGGTTTTCTGTTGGCTAGGTCAAATGTTTTCATCAGTATTTAGGCTTAGTTGAGTAAATGCTTTTGTTTTCAAAATCTGAAAATTCTGTTACCCTAAATCATAGCAGGAACTAAAGAAAGCTATACTTTTTGTATGTCTATATGTATGTATAAATGCGTGTGTGCATATTTTGGAGTCTTCGCCACATAGATTTGAACTTTCGAAAATATTGGGTTCGCGTGTATGCATAATTGCATATACACATTTACACATTACTCATATCGGTTTCAGTATAATACTTGTTTTTGAGAGTGAGACTAAATTGGTGAATCCATGGAGAAGACTGTGTTGGATGTAGGAACTGGGAGTGGCATCCTCGCAATCTGGTCAGCTCAAGCAGGTGCGAGAAAGGTCTATGCAGTGGAAGCGACTAAAATGTCAGAACATGCCCGTGAACTTGTGAAAGCAAATAACTTTCAAGATGTGGTTGAAGTGATTGAGGGTTCAATGGAAGATGTTACCCTGCCAGAGAAAGGTTATTCTTATTAAGTATTAGTGGCAGATAATGTTCATAATGTCCCTTATTTATCATGTTTATATGCTATTTACATTTGGCTTCATTTTGATGTTTATTGTTTTGACTTTAACCTGAAATCGATTACTCCGCAGTTGATGTAATTATCTCGGAGTGGATGGGATATTTTCTTCTGCGTGAATCTATGTTTGATTCTGTGATTTGTGCACGTGATCGCTGGCTAAAGCCAACCGGAGTTATGTAAGTAGTTCTGTACTTTGATGTTTTCATAAGTTTACTAGAACTATTTTGGTCTGAGTTTCATTATATTTTTTGGGAGTATGCGCCTTCTGATTACCGTTCTTTTAACTATTATCTGGCTACAACAACTGAAAATATTTATTTACTTGGATCTTGGAACCTAATCATGCATGGAGTTTTTGTTCTAAGCTGCACTCGTGATAGTGGGCGAGTTTAGTTCAACTACAGAGGCTAGGAGAGTGGAGGTTATAGACTCACTCCAGAAGGCGGTGATACAGAGTTTGGAGCATCTGGTAGTGACCTTTCGAACCCTCATGCAACTGGGTTTGGGAAAGCTTTGACGATGGAAGAATGGGTAAGAGAGGCTGGTTGGCTGGTGGTGTGGCCTTTTTCAGAGGATTTGGAGAGGGAGGGTCATCTCTTCTCCGGGAGTGTTGGGGATACAAATTTGGATTGGATGAAACTTCTTTGGTGATTATAGAAATAGGTACAGTTAAGGTAATAAAGTGGGGGATATAGGGAGCATTGAGAGGGAAGAAGAGAAATTGTGGAATGATGGGTAGATTTTGATGACGAAACTTAGGAGAAGAATTGGTTAGGGAGTTACACTCACTGGCGGATGGAAGTGTATAGTGATGAACAGGGTTGTTTCCCAAAGCCGAGTTGTATATCTTACCAACTAGTGCTTGCTGAATGAAACATAGGAACCTTTTCATGTTTTAGAGTGAACAGAGTACCTAATTTCTTTTGAAATGTCAGAAATACTCTTGGAAAAAAGTATACGTGGTTTTCTTTTGTGTAGTGAGTTTGATGAAAGTCATTAAAAAATTCCACTACTCAATAATTCTATTAGTTACTTGTTTGTGTCATTCTTGAATTGTTAGCTAGAGTGGTTTAATTCTACATTTATTTTAGTATTATACAAGAGCACATTGTTTAAGTACTTGTAACAAAAAGAGGTAGCATCTCGACCGAGTGAGAAATGACTTTGATCAAAATATTTTCTGTTAGAGTTCATTGTACTTGATAAAAGTGAGAGGAAAGAGTGAGATGTAAGGAATAAATATAGCTATCAATGTTATTACTTATTTTCCCTACTGCTTTAGTCTCCTAAATGTAATAGGTCATAGGTAAGCAATGTGCTTGTATGTGAAATTTTTAACCATGGAATTCTTTTGTGTTATTCACTAGAGCGGGTGAATCGGGTGATTGTAGAGTGAGTTGGAGCGGTGGTTGTATAATGGGCTTTAAATATGTAGTTCTGCAATAAGCCAAAATTAACTTCGTTATGATTTTCTCTCACCTACTCTGAAATGAAAACTTACACTTCTGGCTATTTTAATAATTAAATGTCTAACATCTTTAAAAAGGATTTAAAATCTCTATATGGCCATGCGATATGTATCCTTCAGATTTAATGTCAGCTAGTAGGAACCACTAATCAGTGCTCTTGTTGAGCTTGTGTAAAATTTATGATTCTAGTAATTTTGAAGGTGGTTTTTCTAAGCAATGCGGTTTGTCTTCTTACCACACAGTAGGCTGAGCCAACATGCTTTGGTTTTGCAGGTATCCCAGCCATGCTCGCATGTGGGTGGCACCTATCAGGTCTGGGTTAGGAGAACAAAAAATGAATGATTATGAAGGAGCTATGCATGATTGGTTTTGGTTTATGAAAGAGACTAGAAAATATTATGGTGTTGATATGAGTGTTTTAACAAAGCCCTTCTCTGAAGAACAGAAAAAATATTACTTACAGGTGAGTCCTAGATTTCTGGCCGGTTAAGAAACATCTGAAGTAATTAACAATCATTAACCGTTATAATGGTTTTTATCAGTATGGGTGATTTGTTGTTACTTTCTTCTATAGACTCATTCATTTGCTCTAACAAATTAGTTTTGACTGCTAAACTGGATATTGATTTGGTGTACATGTCCGTGTTATTCAAATGCAAACCCCTGCATCTGTCTCCTTCTTGGAGTGTCAAATGCACTAATATGTATATCTACATCCTATTTTGTTGCAGGAACTTGCTAAAAAGTTTGTGGCCCTTTTTCCTATTAATTTATTTTCAGGATATATTTGGTATTTGGGTAGTAGAAATACTTTCTAAACATAGCATTTGGTGTGTTTGTTCCCGAAGCAATTTATTCAGCTTGGCACCATTACCACTTCTCAGCTAATTTAGTGGATGACCAATTTCTTGTTTTGATATAGCTGCAACTCCAAAATAGGATTGAAATTTTCAGCATTTTTTTTCTTTTCACATTTATATAATGAATATATACACTAATATAATATGAGTTATGTTATATATACATGCAGTTTTCTGATCCCTGAAGTCTACTCCTTCCTATTTGTTGGTTGCATCTAACTCGATAGAATTTTTACTACCATACTGTTCAACAATTTGAATCCTTTGATTTCTGAAGTTTCTTCTTCAGTTGTTTCTTTGGATCCTTATTGTCTCTAGTCATTGTTGTGAATTTTTATAAATTTTGTGGTGCGTTGCGATCATCTTTTGGCATCTGACTCTTGTTTATTTTTATTTGCATGTATAGGGGTTTTCTAGCATCATTTGGTCAGAGTTTTTAAGTTTCGATTGCTTTTATTAAGTCTGCTGTACTAAGTTAGATTTCGTAGACTTTGGTGTTGGAGAATACCATTTTAGGTTCCCACTTTTTTCCCTAGTTGAAACTCATACACATCTTTGCCTGAATGGGGATTTGAACCCTCGACCTTCCACTTAAAAAGGCGAGGAAGTTCCATTAGGCTAAAACCCTTGGTAGGATCTATGAAAATTATTTTTAGGTTTCGAAGGATAAGTAATATAGCTATGTTAATTTATTTTTTGTTCTTATTTGCTGTTGATGTTGCACGTTCAGATTGTGTGGTGGTATGTTCTATGTAATCCATAATTTTGAAGACCTTCTCCACTTTGACTTAATTTTGTAACTTGGTTTTTTATTTCTTAAACCCAACTTATACATCATTTTGCCTATGAAATTATATTATTGACATATATGCCTTGCTGGGATTTGAATCCTATAGTTTTCTTGTTGTGAGCAGATATAAATGATGGCATCTTTTGGAATCACTTGGTCGGAGTAGGAGTTTAGGTAGCCATAGTATTAGCTATGAAGCAGCATACGGATTTTGTTCCTCACTTTAAGTTCTTAGGGATTTATGACTCTTTGACTTTTGTTGATCATGTCACTTCTTGCTTAGGAGGAGAAGTTGCCTTGTTTATTTCTCTCTCTAACACCTACTTTGCGCATATAGATTAATTGTCAATTGAGAGGCCTCTACACAACTCTGTTGCAAACAAAAAAATTATGGGGCCTCCACGCACATGTTGGTTCCGTGTTTTCTCTTTCAAATTTGATATGCTTAATTTTTCAGTTTTTTATTGCTAAAATTTAACTTATGGTGCTGGCTATTGTCCTTTTACCGCCTCCTTGACTCCTTGTACATGTTAAACAAGCATACTATTGAATTTCTGTAGACATCGCTGTGGAATAACCTTCATCCAGAACAAGTTATTGGAACGGCTGCCATCATCAAGGAGATTGATTGTTTAACAGCAACTGTAGATGACATCCTTAATGTTACAGCAAGCATTGAATCCTCAATCACTGCAGAGGACACACGACTCTGTGGGTTCAGTGGGTGGTTTGACGTCCATTTTCGAGTGAGTTGACTTTCACTAACCCCATAATATGGCTTGGGACCTGCATGCTAACTTGAATAGCTATTTTACACTTATTTTCTGTACCTCAGGGAAGCAAGGAGAATCTGTGTCAAACCGAGATTGAGTTGACAACTGCTCCTAGCGAAGATAACGGCACACATTGGGGCCAGCAGGTTAGTAACACTAATCATAGAATGGCTTTATGCCTTGCAATCACGATAAATTAGTTGGATGGACTTTGAAGGTGATTAAGCAAAGTGGATTTCAACTAAAAAAAATCCTTAGCCCTAACCATTTTGGTAGCATACATGGCTCTTGTTTTGCAATTATACTGTTGTTGGCGCTATTTTTCTGTCAAGTCGTCAGCAAAACAGAAAATTTGTATCTCGCAAGCCTTTTTTTGGAAAATTTAATGTGAGTTCTAGTTAGATTGACTATCAAGTCATAGAATTTATCATGTCATACCTGCAGACTGTGTGATCGATATCAATACGAGTTTTTGTAAGGATGTCCTATTGTCCACACGCCTTGAATATGAGTGAAGTTACTTATCCTTTAATACTAATGTCGTGCTTCTGATAGGTTTGAATCAAATTAAAATTTATAGCAACAAAGGTGGTGTTCTTACAAGCTTACTTCCATTTAGTAGGATCTTTTTGTTGCAGGCTTTCTACAAGTTGTTTAGGGGCCTTTACTTCCATGTAGTGGTTTTCTTTGCTGCTGAGTCCATCTTCAAGTACTGATTGGTAGTATGCTTTTCTTCATTACTCTGGTTTAACTATGGTATTCTTCTCTTGCTTTACACACAGGTGTTCCTACTGCAGCCTTCTACCAGTGTTACTAAAGGTGATAATTTGATTGTTAACTTCTCAATGAATCGCGCTAAAGAAAACCATCGATTGATGGAGGTTGAGCTCATCTGTGATATAAGACAGTCTTCTGGCAAGCTGCTTCCGCCATACAGAAATAAGTTCTCCATTGAGTGAGGAAGAAAATAGATGCATCGACATTTATGCAGGTACGTTATTTGGCACCATAGTTTTATAAACATGTTATATATGCGTGTACAATGCTGATTTTATTAGTGTGCCATTGTGGTGAAATTGGTTCAAATTGTGTTTAGTAAGTCTAACTGGCTTCAGTGCTTGCACAACATTCCTTCTGACATCTGAATGGAGTTTGCAATTCATTGAAGTTGGTCCAGAACTACCCAACGGTCCCAACCTAAACCTGACCTGTCTGTCGTCGGATTGAAAGCTAGAATATGAAGCCTACCTATTGAGGGTGCTGCTGTACCTGCAGAACCAATAATAGCAATGACATTGAGAACAAGATAATAGTGGCAAGAACCATGAACCATAATGTCAAATCTGGTTGATTGCGTCTCATATCTTAATCTAACAAAACCAGTTTGAAACTAAATTAAATTGGGTTGTCATCCAAATTGGGGGTTATCGGAATTTGATCTTTCATGATTGGATGGCAAATACTGTGGTTGATGGGTTCCAAGTATTGTTAAGCTTTATGGATGCTTTGGACATTGTTGGTATCTATTTATAAGTGTTTATACTTGTATGCCTCTATTTTGTTTTTACCAAATATGCTAGCAAATGAAGCTTTATTTTTCTATGGCTCAGATTTTATTTTAAAATTTTAATTTATTTCTTATTTTGATTGATGATCTTTGCTCATTCCAGCGCCTGCATGCGAAGGACATGCACATGTAAGTTCTGGTGCTGACTGCATCCTCGGATAAAAATATCTGCAAGTGTTTGTGGGATATCTGGAACAATTTTTGCCACTACATTATGCTGTTGTGTTTCTTATCGTGTTTGAAACACAATCTTGTTAATTCAATGAGAATTTTGGTTTCATAGGGCTTGTAATATTATCGCTCTTTTTTTTACTTCTACTTTCTGGGGGTGCAAGAAAGTTGTTATACAATATTTTTGTATAAGAAATATACAAGTTGTAGCAATTGATTTAGAGTTCTCTAATTCACGAAAAAAAAAAAAAAGATTTAGAATTCTCTCTGTTAATTGATTTAGGAAATATTGTGTTAATAGCATACATGCTTTTAGAATTTAGTACTGGCTGTTATAACTGTTTACTGTTCAGTGAACACTGTAGCTCTCTGCATTACAAGAGAGTGATCAAATGGAAAATGCTGCTATGTAAAAACTGGTATCTATTCTAAGTTTAGTATTGCATTGTTCCCTTTGCATGTTGAAAGTAATAGTTTGTAGGTTTCAACTCAAGAAACTTTTATTACCGAGTTCGGTGCCATTTGGGATTATAGAAGATGCTTCTAATGCCTACTGGCATATACATGAAGATCATTGTCATAGATGGTGTTTTATTTTTATTATATAGGACCATCTAGTCCTGTCAATGAATTAAAATGTAAGTAGCAAGTTTGTTTATTGATAGGATTTGATGGTCTATAAATTAAATAGTTGGGATTCTTTGTAATTGTCCCGTTTTAATTATGTTGGCCTTTTCATTGCAGCACTTTAGAATATTCAAGAAACATTGCATGCTTTTGTGTTTATCTATATGTGTGCGCGTGTGATATACACAACTTCATATATATTTGCATCATTGCATGTATATTATATGTTTATAAATGTATACAATATAAAATACCAATCGTATGTATAGATGTGTTTGTTAAGGTGACTTATACACCACTTGTATATTATATGTTTATAAATGTATACAATATAAAATACCTATCATATGTATAGATGTGTTTGTTAAGGTGACTTATACACCACTTGTGATTCCAGGAGCTGACGTCTTGAATCTGACAGGCAGCTGTATTTGGTTTTTATATATCCAGTTGGTTGGTTCTATGCCTTGTCTGTAATAACCTTTATTTTAGATGCGTTGATCACATGCATCTCTCTCTCTCTCTCTCTCACACACACACACGTTTTTGGCTCTGAAAACAAAGTTGCATCTCTTCTTAACTTCCAATGCATTGGGGAAACTTTCAAGAGTTTAATACTATTCCGCATAATTCTTATTCTCTTACCATTCTATGTCCTTAGCTTCTGGCTTTTTATATCTATGTTCTCTTAAGCTAGGATATATCAGTTATCACTTGTCCTTGAGAATGTATAGATCAGCAAGTTTAGCTCGAGCCTCACATGAGTTCTTGGTCAACTTGTCACCGGCTGCCTCACCATCTCCGAAAACAACAGCGACCGGTGAATTGCCGATGTACAATCCCATCTCTGATGCCAACATGAAGGAGATCACTCTTCGCCACAACTCGTTTGGCAAGAGTGTGGTTCATCTTATCCCCCTTGTTTTGATTCTTTGTGCTTTGATTCTGTGGTTTTTCTCTAATCTAAGAAAATTTTCATGAGCTTGCACAACTCTATTTCATGCTCCTTTTTACCTCATCGGGTAATTTAATGTGGAGTTTTTTTCGTCAAGGTTAAGGCTGTCATTTCCCTAATTGGCAACAAGTGTCTTTCTACATTTGAATCATTCCTATGTCTAAGTTTAGGGAGAGTAGTCAATAAGATTTTGGTCTTTTACTACACCTTTAAAAGTGTTCTAATTATAGATAGCCATTCCTTTTTATATTAATCTTGGGATATTTATTTTAAAATTCATATTGAATTTTAAAGGAGCCCTCTAGTGAGCGAAGACCTATGTATATTGTTCTCGGGATGTGTCCAACTAATTTTTTGTTTTTTATTTAAAAAAGAGGCTAATTCAGTGTATGAGAAGGTTTAGCAATAGCTAAATAAATACTCAAAACTAATATTTGATAGGTTTAGTCTTGCTTCCAAGTAATGTATAACATGATACATGAACCCCACTTCAAAAGATAAACTATACTTGTATTATGTGTGTATATATACAATTTATGTAAGATTGATGCTCAAGGCACGTTTTGTGAAATCAATTACGCTATCTTTTCCGTGGATATAACATGTTAACTGCCCCCATACACAACACAAGGAATTTCCTTTCCCTCGAGTTCATAACAGATTGACAAAGCTAGTCAAGTTTTTGGACAAATTTTCTAAATTTAAATGGGGTTAAATTGATTAGAGAATATATATACTTACGCCTTAAATTATGACGTACAAGCTAGATTTAGTCAATGGAATAGAAATTTTTGTGGTAGAAGAACAAATTAGATACTGTACAAATATTAACAAATCATGTGAAATTTTTGCAAGCATAGATGTACAAATTCTATTTGTAATCATTTTAATAAACTCAATTATAGTACGTGGGATGTGACCGAGTATGCAAATAATCAAGAATTAAAAAGGGCAAAAAATAAAAATAAAAATTAAAATTAAAATTAACTACTACAACAAATTTTCTGGAGGAACCATAGTTTTTGGAATTGAAACCCAATATCTTTTAGATATACATGATTACAAATAGTATTATTAACCCTTTAAATTAGAGCTTTCATGGCAGTCGCGCGATCATGTTTTTGGGTCTTGATTATTGATATTGTATAATTTGTTTTGACTTTTCCCTACAATGTATGTGATGAAATGTTGAGAAAGTCTTAGTCAACTAAGTCAATCGGCCTTGTGGCTGCTAACTAAAATTCAAAACAGTGTGAAGGACTATATATAAAAAAAAAAATGTCTTGACCATGGATCTCAGAACCCGAACTTTGAAATTTTCCACTCTGTTTAAACCACGTCCATTGACTGCAAATTTACCATCAAGAATATTTTAAATAGTGCTCTTCTGTTTTTCACTAAAAGCTCCATTCACATGTCATAGAGATGGCGGACAAGTATGGTAAAAATGATTGCCAAAGATAAAATATGAAAAATTTATATATATAAATTTTTTTAATTTCACGGGCACTAAGTGAAAAAATTAATTCTAAAGAAATCAAATTTCTGACCTCAAAAATGTTAAATGAGAGTCTTTATTATTGGACATTCAAAACATCTATATCAAATGAAATTTAAAATTATATCTAATTTTTTATGAGTTTGTTTCAAAAATATTCATTCATTGTCATCCCCACCAAGCAAATAAGATAGAAATATAGTATTTAAAACAGTAGAATTGACGCACTTTTTGATTTTATATTAAGGCAAACCCAAACAAGGGGTACATTTTTTTCATCCTAATGACAATGACAAATGAGATCAATTACAATCTCAAGTTAGCTTAGTTATCAAGTACTTATTTATTCAATCACAATTTGTTTGCTACTTACCCATACGTGTATCATAGTCATTAGTTTGCTATTTAACCCATACGTGTATCGTAGTTATTGCTTAATGTAATAGTGAACAAGTTGATAAAGTTTGCTTTATGTAATAGTGAACAAATTGAGAAGTGTTGATATTTAAAGAAATACTCTGGGTATGATAATAATAAAAAAAATAAAAAAATAAAAAAAATAGAAAGCATATATTTTTAATAATTTCTATAATTTAATCAATCTCATTCATAGTGTAAATTTTACCATATAACCAATGGAAGAAACAATTGTAATAATTTAATCTCATTTTTAGTTGAGAGGTGAATTTTATCATACCACAAGATCTTGATTAACTTAACATGTTAACTCCCACACTTAACCCTTCATTCCATCACAAATGCATATTTATTATTACTCCTTCATTCCATCACAAGTGCATATTTTATTATTACTGAAGTGTTGTGTACAAAGGCGGTCTCACACTACACTTATTTATAGGCCTCTTATCCACATTCTGTATATTTACAAGTCTACAAAATTCTCTCAACAAGAATATATAATTTTTTTAATAATTATTACAATATTCTATAATTCCCTACACAATTACTAAAGATTAAAGGTCATCTCCCCAACGCATCTTGTGCATCCTATCCTTCTAAAGTTAGGCGAGATGTCTTTGATTAGACTAGAAGAGTGCTACTAACTATCGTTCAAATAACTCTGGCTCCATAAATAATTGATTTTCGACCAATTACAAAAGATTACGAAAAATGATTATACAACTCTAAGCAATGTCGTTACCGAACTAATTTATTATTGAAAAAAAATAGTGATAGCATGTCAGATGTACTATTGAAGAATAAGTGATTAGTGGACGTGATCTGAGTTAATTTTAGACAATTAATAGTAAAATACTTAAATCCACGTTTTAAATGTAAATAGTAAATACAAATTTTAATGAGATAGTGCGCACTACACACCATGGCACACAATAACGCAAAATAGTTAATCCAACCTCAACAAGCTATTCTTAGGCAGTTGGCAACTTCGACACAATGCATACTATATTCGTTGTTAAATTAAATGATAAAAAGCTGTTTCTCAAAATAAATAAATAAATTAATTAACCAAAACATAAAAAACAAAAACACAAAAACCACCGCTATCACAACATTCACAACAATATCAAAAGAGAGAATCTCTCTATACACAATTTCAGATTAATAAACCCAACACAACTTCTCTAGATCGATCGAAAAATCTCCGATAAGGTCAGTAAAAATTCATTCCCATCTCTTCTTCAATTCCATCGATTCTCAGCTCTCAATACGTTCGATTTTAGATCAGTTTGTCTTGCTTTTAATTTTGAAATTATTAACTTTAATTTTGATTCTCTGAAAGTTGAACTCATTTTGGTTTTTTGTTTCGTGAAACTGCATTTGGTGTCTACATATTTTTGCTTTTTTGATTTTTTTGTTGTTGTGTGTAGTTCGTTGGATTATCTGATTATCATCTACTGAAAGTGTTTCATTTTATTCCTATTCTTTTTCTTTTCGTTGTTCATACAACTATATATATATGTGTATATATATGTATATATGCGGATGCATAGTTCATAGATTCTACTGATTGTGTTAGTTTCGCAATACATTTACTCTCCAATTTTTAATAATTCAATAGAATGTACAGATGATCTCTCAACGTGTACTAATTTTTGTTATAATCAAATCAATTTGAGATAGTATTCTCTCCCTTTCTGTTCATAAGATAAGATGCAATTGTTAAAATGTTTATATTACGGTCATCCATGTCCCCATTTTGTTTGATTATTTCTTACATCATTATATGTTCAACTGAATGACAGGTTTTTTGTACTGGAATTTGGGGGTGATAATATAAAGATCATGAGACACAAGAAAGGGAGTAAAGTGGAGGTCTTGAGCAAGAACGAGGTGCCGTCGGGTTCTTGGCGTTGTGCTGAGATAATATGTGGGAATGGGAACGATTATACTGTTAGATATGATATGCATCCTGGTGCTACCGATGAGGCAGTTGTTGAAAGGGTATCTAGGAAGTCAGTTAGACCTTTTCCTCCTCTGGTTAAACTTTCGGAGAATTGGATTTCTGGTGATGTTGTAGAGGTGTTTCAGAATTTCTCTTGGAAGATGGCAACAGTGTCTATGGTTTTTGGTAGGAATTACTTTTTGGTTAGATTACTTGGATCCTCTCAGGAATTCAAAGTCAGTAAATTTGACCTCCGAGTACGACAATCTTGGCAGGATAACAAATGGATCGTGATTGGAAAGGTAGTTTAATCCGTATCTGTTTTACTTTTGCAAGTTATTCTTTCATATGAAACTCCAAGAGTGCCTTTCAAGGGCTTTTTTGAACTGTCTTGATTCTTTTGAAACTAATTTAATTATTTTGTGCACCGGCACACTATAAGAACTTAGCTCTAGTGGTATTTCCTCCACTTTCCAAATTGGAAGGTTGAGGGTTCAAGTCCCAAAAAGGTGCAATTTTGGGTATCCAATTAGAAAAAAGAAAGAAAGGTAGAACAAAAGTTCAACAACAGTTCTGGACATATTATCTCACATTGTAGTGTAATGTTGAAAATAGGTGATTCATTTTTGGGCTTTTCGTCTTTTAATTTTCACTAGTCAAAAATTTTTAGCAAATGAACTCCTTATATTAATTTTTGTTGTGTATGCAGGGTTCTGGAAATTGTGAAGATAAGAAATGCAATGAACGGTCAACTCTGACGTACAATAAACATTCGAACTTCCAAGTTAAGCAAACAGATACAAGGGTGAATTTTTGTGTAAAAGATGATCTTTTTGAGGCAAAGAATTATGTCAACTTCCCGGATAGCCATATTGTTTCCTCTAGAACTTTGAAGAGAGGGTCACCCTACGGTTATTCACAAATTGAAGTCCATGCTGGAATGTCTCGGAAATTTAGAGTAGTTGAGAAAGATGGTTCACGTTACTGCATGCCTGCACATCCATACCTGTCACCTGAAAAGGTAGACACTATTGCGTCCCTTCAAGAACTGCCTGGTGAAAAACACATGTATGTTTCTTATAACAACAAAACAACTCGCTTTCCTGAAATGGATGAGAGGAAGAAATCAAACAATGCTGTTGGGTGTTCACGGGCAGTAAGCTTAGAACCTAATGTCGCTGATAGTGTCACATGCTCTGTGGGTAGTTGTAGCATTACTAGCAACAATTTCTTTAAGTTGCCTAGTTGTTTTTATACTGGTCCTGTTGAAGATACCGATGATCATTTTAGTGATGCTGAATCTGTTTGTCAGTGGGGGCATGATGAAGGGGATTGCTCCCTTCCCACTAAGGAGGAACTTGCAGCAGAAATCCATAGGTTAGAGTTGCATGCTTACCGTTGCACTATTGAGGCATTGCATGCATCAGGACCCTTAAGTTGGGAACAAGAAACAATGGTAACGAACCTTCGTCTATCGCTCCATATATCAAATGATGAACATTTGATGGAGCTAAGGAACTTAATTTCTACTGCTACCAGCATTTCTATTAGTTGACAGGAAAATCAAACATTCTTTCCCCCCCTTATTCCTTTCCATTTTATATGAGTAGATTTTTTTATTGCATTCGGTTTAATAGCCTCACGTAATCGTAAGAAGCGAGACAAATTGTTGTTTTCTGTTGCTTCTATTTTGGTTATAAAATTTACAGTGTTCTAATTGAAATGTTTGTACCATAAACATTTGCAAAGCAATGAATGTTTCTGAGCTCATCTCTGTGTATCTTATATCCTTCTTGTCTTTCAAGGGCTTGTACTGTTTCGGCAGTTTGTCAATGAGTATCTTTTTAAAAATCCATTCAATGCATTACAAATGCAATGGATGTCCATGTACATTCCCTTATGTGAATTTGCTGTTGACAAAGTTTGTCCTTAATTAATGATGTTATTATATAGCCAAATGCCTTTGCAATTTTATATGCTTAAAGCTTGTGATTTCCTCTTTATTTTCATAATCTGTTCCTTCTCTTCTTCATTTTTCTCTTTCCATTTAACTGGAGTTCATAAAGTTACTTCATTTTGGAATTCTAAGGAAGTGTACCTATGCTCTCTGCTTTTATGGGGTATCTTGTGGGGTCCATTTGTCAAATAGATTGGTTGTCTCCATTCCATTTGGCATCATAAGCAGTAATTTTGAGGAAATTGTTGATGCTTCCCCTGCCTTTTCCAGGGCCAAAGTAGGAGGCTGGTACACCTTGCTTCCAGATCTCTAAAAGATGATGCTGGGGTCTGCCACCTCTCTCTTGGTGTAGACAATGGTTAAATAGCAGCATCAAAATAGCTACAAATGGGACAGCTTATGATGCTCCATTGGCATGATTATTATATCTGGTTGCTGCATTCTTCGATTTTGGGCCACCCCTGAGCCTCAAAATGTATTTTGCCAAAGGATGTAGGACCAGAATCTTGTGGCTGCCATGGGATGTCCTGATATGTGGATGCTCACAAAAGGTTTTGTTTCCAACTTCACCTCAGCTCATCCATAACAAGTGATCTTTTTTTTTTTTTTTTTTTTTTTTGTGTGTTCGTGTTTTCGCTCTCCACGTTTTGCAAAGTTTTTTCATCTCATGGTACACATCTTTGTTTTATGGAGTGATGGTGAATTCTGTGGCATGACTATCGAACAATTGATCTGTATGCATTCTAATAATTGTTACAGGCAGATAAACACGTCCCATAAGCGATCCATATAATGTCAAATTGAACAAGTATTAACCTCATGAAGGATAAAATGTTATTAAGAAGCCAGGAAACAACAAATTTGTGGACAAAGAAAAGTACAAAAGCTTTTTCTTCATTTTTTGATTGGAAAGTGCTTGTAAAAGTTGCTGATTATAACAGCATGTTAACAAAAAGGTGGTACATAGAGAAGGCAAAGACAGTGCAATACATGTATAAATGCACATATACACACATAGTTTGGCTTTACAGAACAAATTACCTACACTGTCCAAATTGCAGCATAGAGGTCTTATGGTACTTCCATATGTGCAAATCTAATGTTAAGTCTCAGCATAGTAAGATTTCAAAACTTACATTTACTTTTACCATTTGGAATATGTGGTGTTTCTATTAAAAAAGCTCACCAAGTGGCAAGGAAAATTGTATGGGATGTGGCTGACTCTTTGGGTGTGCATTTCCAGGACTTGGTGGGGGAATGGGGATGTTTTCTTTGTGATTGGAAGTGGTTACTTGGCTCTGGTTTTTCAGTATTAGGTTGTTGGGGTTTCTTTTGTTGTATTCCTTTTAGTAGCTATTTTGTTTTATTGTTTTTTATTGGCTAATTTTTGGAAATGAGCCTTCTTTAATGTTGTGGCCTTAGCCTCTATTTTTCTTGTATTTTACTGGTTTTTGGTTAATATAAAATTGCTTGGGAGGAAGAAAAGAAACATATATACACATACAAATATACCAGTTCTATATATGTGTGTAAAATAATGACTTTGCTGATTAAAGCAGTTGCTAGATCTCACTGCTTTTATTTATTCAAACAGCTCAATTTTATTCTTCACCTAATAATTTCGTATAAATTGTAAATTGATACACTTTTGAACGATAATAACTCAAATAAAATTTGTTTTTAACAATTATGCTCCTTCTAAAATGATTTAGAACTCATATCTTGAAGTGTCTCTCATGTCCAGCATGTGTTATAGCTCCCTTATTTTGTTGAGAATGCATCCAACAGACACTGAAAATTGTCAGAAACTTAATACTTGCCCAACACTGACAAGTTTCTTTATGAAAGTTTCGCTCTTTGTAACACTGTCATTTAAACGTGCACCAAAATGTAGAATTTTTTGGTGTATTGTTACATAAATGACAACCATCTTGTGCTACATATATATATATCTAGTAAATGTGTGTGTGTGTGTGTGTGTGTATATATATATATATATATATCACCAATTAAAACATAATAGCATAATGAGTTAGAAATTTCCATGTGTAGATGTGTGTGTTTTGATAGCATAATGAGTTAGAAATTTCCATGTGTAGATGTGTGTTTTTTCGCATATAGTATGTACTGTATCTATATTTATTCGTTTTCTAATACTAAATGAAATACCGTACATATCAAATGGTATCCTAGATTGTTGCCATTTTTAGGTACTAACGTGAATCGTTTTAGACCCTAGATGATTTTCAAATAACTTAGTCACATATTTTAGACCCTAGATGGAAGGTGTACGCAAAAAATGATATCTTCCCTAGCCCAAAGTTTGCAAAGTTCTGCTCCTAATAGTTTTTTGGTTTTTCTATCAAAATTATGTTTTGAGATTTAGAACCACCTACACTCTTCTCATCTCCATGTTTCTCTTTGCTCAACTCAGACTTGGTAAGGTAATTGTTTCATCCTACATGTTGAGTGTTCGGCTTTTGTTTATGTTTCAATGTTTGGGATACTACTGTTTCTTTGTACAGCATCAATATATTTGGGTAAACACCATGATCACTATCTGGAAAGTGCTCTCATAATAACCTTGCTCTATATACTTCAATCGTCTTCTACATGCCTTATTGGGTATACTAATGGTTTCTATTGTACATGTTTCTTGATTGAAAGTGTGTTAATTCAGCTTAATGTCACGCCCACCTATGTGTAAGAAGGTCGAGTATAGACGACACTAGGAAAGACTTTGTAAAGAATGACATGAGTTGGTTCTAGAGTCTTTCATATTTGTTTGTGTGTGTGAAGTATTGTAGGATTGAATAGAGGATCTTAGAACATTGGAGAGTTCATAACAGTTGATAGATTGAACAAAATTCGGGTAGAATGTTTTGTAAATATCTAATATTTATTAGAGAGTTCTATAGAGTAAATTTTAACCATTGATTATAACGTATCATAACCGTTCATTAGAGAAAATAATGCCTATATAAAGGTGGAAGGAATAAAAGATCGAGTAAGGAGAAGTTGTGATTGTTAAATTATGTTAATTCCAAACAGAGAAAATAGAAATTGTACAAATCACAAATTACAATCCCATCTCAAAACTGAAAAAAAAAAATAGAGATATTATGTTAAATCTCAAATGGAGTTATCATGTCAAGGAATGGGACAGCATATAGTCTTCTTATATTTCACCAAATATATATATATATAGATCTAAGATTTTATTTCAGTGAAAAAAAAGAAAGAAAGAAACAAAATGAGTGGAGAATAAAAATCAGATTGAGCATTGGCCACTACAATTATCACCGTACACAAGATGAGCGGTTTAAGTTGCTCATCTGGCTACTACCATTGCTTTGGGGTTGGATTTGTATCCTGGGCTGGGCTATAGTTGTAGCCTTGTTGATAGCTTTGGGCATTACTTGTTTTTATTCTATTCGGGCCTAAAGGCCTATTGTAATTATTATTTAATGAAAGAAAATTGTTTTAATTTTCTGAAAATAAGTTGATTGTTTGCATTTGGACTATACCTTAAGCGCCACAAGGTCAATGTGCCCAGCCCAGCCCAAAGATTGGCCAACAAGGCTTGGTCTTATAGTGGCTTGGGCCTGAGCTTAGACTGAGAAGCTGATTTTGAGGAAAAAAAATGCAGTGTTATAGTGGGTTGGGCTTGTATCAACGAACATGTAGAAATGAGAACCATCCATAAAAAACAATATCATTAACCAATTCTTGCATTACTTGCAGGGCTTCTTGCACCGCTTCTGTATAAACTCCACCCAAAGTTGCAGAATAGTTCCAGCCTTTGTTGCCCCACGGTATAGCAGATGAAAGAAAGAGGTTCGCTTTGTAGGAAGAATTGCTCCTCACAGGCAATATCTATTTCTTTATTTCTTCCAATACTGTACAATAATAATAGGAATGCCATGAAAGGGATGCTTTTGTCCCGGCCATTGTATCACCTGTCTCGCCCAAGACATGATGACTTGACGTAATCCTCACCTTCCTCCGGCTTATCACCAGCAGTCTATACAGGCATCCAAATAATTTAATCTTGATTTAATCTTTTTTGAAGATACGATAGAACAAAAAAAATCAGAAAGTTCTTCTTTGCGGTGATAATGCCAAATTATCAAATTGGCTCCGCCGTCGTTATCTTGATCCTGCCTCATTCCTAATTAAATATTCAACTAGATTTGGAGAATTGTTATTTTCTTCGTGAATATGATTACATTTATATAGGGTTTGTGACCTCCCACGTGTATTATAGATTTATAGGAACATTTAGCAGTTAATTGTTAAGAAAAATATTTTTAAATTTATTCTTTTTATGATAAGTTTCATGCATTCTAAATTATGGAATGATAATTTAGCATTATTTTTTAATAAAAAAAATTCATATATATAAATCATATTTAATTATGTTGAAAATTATATTTTTCTTTCCTTCATTATACTTTTTTTATTATTAAAAATTTTCATCTAATAAAATAGAGAAAACTCAAATTTATAATCTTTGATAATCAATTCGCAGCAGTGTTGCGGTATTGGTCGTTGTCACGGTGTAACGGATTCGGACAAAATTAGTGTAATGCATATCGAATTTGTATTAGATCTGAAAAAAAATATTGTATAAGCCGATACTTCGCGTATATGATGATACGTTGAATCATTTAAGAATTTTATTATTAAGGCAATTGTTTCCATTTTTTTTTTGGCATTCAAGTTACAACACCATGAATATGACAGGAGTTTGATAGATGGGAAGGGTGTTACATTTATGTGGTTCCACCAAATCCACTGCCATTGTCTCTTAATTTGCATCTCTTCATGTTTAGTGCTCCCATGTGAGGCTGCCCCCTCTCAGACGCAAACTCAGCGAGAGAGAGAGAGAGAAACGAGCTTCAAGGACGACAATTCATCTGTGTAAGTCTGACTTCCTACTGTTAACAAAATATGGATTTATTATTTAATTTTTATATATGAGTTATGAATAATAAGGTTATTTTAATTTTAAAATTGAGTGCATTTATTAGAAAAGAAACTGCAAATATTATTAATCAAAACGATTCTTTACAACTTCCCATCTAATAATCCCCACATTGATCAAAATTTTCAAATGAAATAGAAAAAATTAAAATTCTATATAAGTAGCGGTCGCTATTAATAAAATTCTGGTCCAAACTTATATATATATATATGCGTCCACATGTCATGTGACATGCTTATTTATGTTACGGTACTATACCTTTCACATTTAGGGACATCGATCAATTCCATGCATAGCTGTCATTGATCATCATCAATATTGGATCTAATTCACTCACGTGTTATATACATACGTATATTGCTTCTGATTTATAATATTCAAGCCCTTGTTTCGATCACTGCCTAACAATCTCACATGACCTCTATATATATTTATATATATATATATATATAAACAAACAATCTCACATGAAATTTGAACTTCTTCTTGATGGAAAATGATATGATGGAGGATGCCTGTCCCTCCCTTCAATTGAAAACTATGCATGAAGTTCTGTACACCGCCAACGATGGTGATTGAACATTATATATTATTGTAATTGGATCACTATGTGACGAGTCTTATTTAGTAATATAATCGATAACATACAAGATCCTTTTTAACATTCGAATGAAAGATCTAAAATAAAATGGCGATGGTGCATGTGGTTCTTATCATACATATGGATGACCTATCAAAACAAACAATCTCACACGAAACCTAGGCAAGCTAGCTCTAGCTTGATGGAAAATGATATAATGGAGGAATGCGGTGTGTCCCGGCTATTGATAACTTTGCATGAAGTCCGGTACACCACCAACGATCTTGATTGCACATTAGGTGATGTAATTGGACCACCATGTGACGAGTCCCGTCTAGTAATTCAATCACCATTGTAGGGGGTGTCCAAGACCTTCTCAGTATTCGAGATGGAAGCCTGATCTATAGAAAAGGGCATGAGATGGTACTTGTGATTCTTAGCGTAGGGATGCTCTCATTGTAACCCTTCTCGATGCTCTCATTGTAACCCTTCTCTCCCTGCTTCTTTGTAAATGCGTAATATTAATTATGCTTCTCTGTATATGTGTGTGACTGTGTGTATGTGTGCAATATTAATTAGGTCCTATATATGCTGGCAAAGAGGCCATGACAACCAAGTGTTATTACCAATGTCTAAATTATGATATGGCAGCTGGTAAGATATTACGATGAGCAGCTAATTCAACACTGAGATATGGATGATAAGAAAGTGGCTATATATATATATATGCGTGTGTATATATTTATGGAGCACGAAATGGCCAATCATGTAAAGTCAGTACTTGCTTGTTGGTCCATAATAGCCCGACAATTGGCATTAATCAAGGGCAGACATTAGCCAGCTCAATTCCAATAGCATGATGGCAACTATAGGAAACATTTGTGATTAATTTAAGTAGTAGAGATGACTGATTTCTGATACAACCATAAATCTTATGGCATTTACTAGGGATCTTCAAAAACCCCATTTAAATCCTAAGATAACCTAATGAGCTGGCCATCTCTGGATTATGAAATCTATATAATATTATTGTCTTCTTGCTCGTATGCATTAATGTGGACTTGCCATCTCTATAATAGAATTTAGATATTTTTCACAGCCAGATAGAGTTAGTTCTCTATCGTTTATTGGTAACTTAATTAGTAAAGTGTTCATCTCTCCAAATGGGTGTGCCTGTACGTATTCGATTCCCTTCTTTCGAAATTTGCCAGGAAAAAAATATATAATAGTTTGATCAAAAGTAGAGTTTACATTTTATGAGTTCCACCTAATGATCCAATCTCCATCCTTATGAACTATAGATCGTTCCCCTTTTTGCCATATAAATCTTTATAAGAAGACTGATTAACTTTTGGCTGTTGGTGGTTTATAAACAATGCTATTTCTGTAAAAGATTATAAATTAAGATATTGAGTGATTAGATTATTGATATATTCTTTTTGGTAAGTGGAATATTGTTAAAATCATTTTTGTCCCTCTTGGAACAATGGGTCCTATTCTTTTTCATAGCTAACGGGGTACAATGGTCCTTAAAACTATTAAACATGCAATTAAATGTCCATCGGGTCATCATTCCAGTGATTTATCTTTGTATACTGTTCCAATATTATTGTACTAGTTGTGTCAACTTTGTTCTAGATTGGCGCTAAATCATTTTATAATTTTGTATACGTTCTTTATTTTGTTTGGTGAAGTGGTGTTCGATTTTCATACTTATGATCATATTATTTGGACTAATGACAGTATATATTTCAACATTCATCAAGTGTAACTCATCAATAAATATCAATATTTAATTTTAATGGTAAATATGCATATATATGTGTGTGTGTGTGTGTGTGTGTGTTGGGGGGGGGTGGGGGGCTTATTAAATGGATACTTTGGGAGGATGGTTTGTCGACATTGCCCATATGTTATCGTGCATTTGCATGCTTAAGATAAAGCACAAAGGCACAAAGGAACAAAAGGCTACAAGGCTATATAAGCTAATAACTAAAGACTAAAAGATAAATTAGGATATTGATTACTACAAATCAAGGAAAAGCACGTTCATTATTAAAGTTATAAAAACTCATCAACCCTATACATGTGTTTATTGTTAATTTCTAGTGAATCCAAGAAATGATTAATTAGTTGAAATCGATATTTTAGGTGTTGGGGAGAGAATACAGTTCATCTAAATTAAATGGTTAATGGTATAATTGGCGTCCAAATTAGTAGTTTAATTTTTGTACTTGTTGCACTGAGATCGAGATTAGCCATGTTGATAAGGAAGAATAAACACGTAACAGTCTCTAATATGCCAAGATGACACCAAAAGATGTGGTTAAGGAATTGAAAAACTAGGGTTTTTAAGGTAATGATGGAAGGGTCACATGCTTGGAGTAGCATGCTTTGATTCCTTTTAAGAATAGTGATGAAAAAAAAAAAAAAAAAACTGGAAATAGAAAAAGAGTGGGGAAAGAGATGTCCCCATCCACTTGCTTCATGTGGGGACCATCAAATCCCCTCAATGTAAAGCTCTCAAAAGGGTACCCCAAAAAAAAAAAAAAAAAAAAGCAAAGTTTGTTGCCCCAAATCTTACTTCTCACTACATTACAAAAATAAAGCCCTAAACCCCGTAAAGGGGAATATAAAAAGTTCATTTGCATGCTTGTTTACAGTTAGCTTTGCTTTAAAACAAACAACATTTCATGTCTTGGGCATTGCATTTGTTCTTTGCTTTTTAATCTTATAGTATTAACATAAAGGTTTGTGATTATGGGTCAATTTTGTTTTTTTTTTTTAATGAAAGGCACATCACCACCTTCCAAGAACTTTGCCTTCCCTCTTTTTTTGTTTTCCCCTGTTTTTTTTGGTTTATGAATAAAAAAGCAAATCTAAATTCTTATCTAACTTGTCAAGGCTGCTCAGACTATAGGGTCTTCGATATTTTGAGGTCTCAAATTTGAATCATGCTTTGAATAATATCTGGAGTTTACGTTGTAGGCCTTCAAATTACGCGTTGAATGATGAATTTTTTATAAAAAATCCATTGCCAATATTCTAAATTAAATCTTTGATGAAAAAATACAAGAAAATTCAATTTCCACGAGATCATCTAATAAGCAACCACTTCACATTCTTGAAAGTATTACAAAATTGTGTTAGAAATTGTGCACATATACATTGCATTACACATGAGAGAGGGAGAGGTCTCTCTCCTAGACTCTAACTAAATCCTAAAACTAGCGTTACAAGCCAATAGCCTAAACATTTAGCAAAATACATAGGCACGGCCATTTTTGGGGTTAGTAATAAGCTAGACTAGATGATGAGCATAATAGTAGCGACAAATATAATGATAAAATCAAAATATATCCTAATTCCTATAGTAATTTAAATTTTTTTTTTTTTTTTTCCCCCAACTCAAAACTAAGCATATTACAAGAAGACAATAACTTAAGAGCTTAGAGCCCTTGATCTTGAGTACTTGTGACATCATCAGGCAACTGTCGGAATATAATTGGTGCACCATATTGCGGGTATAGAAGCATCAGGACCGTTGGTGCGTGTTGATAAGTGGGGCTCAAGCTAAAAGAGAATCTCTGCAGTAGGATCGCAAGAGTTAGTTTAGCCTGTAATATTGCTAGATTTTGGCCAATGCATGTGCGGACCCCAAGCCCAAATGGAATGAACGCCACAGGATGTTTTGCTGCGCGGGCCACCCCTTCTGAGAATCGATCAGGGTTGAATTCATCAGCGTCGTTGCCCCATATTGCTTGGTCGTGATGAACGGCCAGGATTGGTATCAAAAGCTCGGTCCCACGTGGGACCTTGCATCCCCCGAGCTCCACATCCGCTTTTGCCCGTCGGATTGTCGCCACGATTGGTGGATAGAGTCGTAAGGATTCATTGATAATCATGTTCAGCTGCACACCAGATCACAAAACCAAAATTATGCGGAGTACTTCCAAATTGTCAAATTTACCCCTCACATTCTTTTCATGGTAATGGTGAGTTTCTAACATTATGATGGTAAAAGAGGGCATGTCCCTTGAAAAGTATGGTCTTTAAATAGTTCAGAGCATTACCATCTTAAGCTTGACAATGCCATCTTTGGTAGGTACGTCACGTGGTCCGCACACCTTACGCACCTCGTCACGTGCTCGAACCTGCCACTGTGGGTGCATAGCTAGCAAAACTGTCGTCCACGTCAGCAAATTCGACGTCGTTTGCTCACCGGCGAAGAAGAAGCTCTTGCACTCCTCGGCAATGTCGTGAACAGTGATCTTCGACGACAACGACGACGGCGATGATGGATTTAACTCCTTGGTGCTGGCTTGAATCATAAGTCCCAACAAGTCCTTGGCGCCATTTTCAACCATTTCGTTCCCCCAATTCTCTCTCCTTCGATGGATGACATTCACTAGAGATTTCTTAATTTCTCTATCCAATTTCCAAGACTTCATGTTCTTTTTCGTAGGCAGGAATCTAAAATAAAAAATTCCCAAAAATAATAAAAATTAATCTTTTTTTCAGCCATATTTTTGAATTATAAAGTACTAGAACATGTGACCACCTGACAATTAGTTAAACTAGTAAGCAAAATTTTCAATTATTGAAATATGGTTATGGAATAAAATTGATTAATCAATGTAATGTATGTATATATTACCTATAACCAGGGATGAAAATCTTTTGGAATGCGTCGGATGCAAGCTCCATCTGTTGAGCTTGTAATCCGAAAATGGCTTTTCCATCTTCATAGCTGCTGCCGAATGCTGTTAGTGTAACGATGTCTTCTGTCAACGTTTTGAAACATTCAGAGACTTCAATTTCGATTTCACCCGAATTCGACATTGCACACCATTTGTCCAACATTTTTGTCACACTACTTGCCACCACAGGTATCAACAACTATAAACATTACAATAAAAAATAAAAATGTTACATAATTGGAATATATATATATATATATATATCAAAATTTGCAAGTGTTGAATCAAAGTAGCAAAAAGAGGTGAATTAATGATTGAACTTACTTTGAGATTTTCCATATGGAAGGTGGGGGTGATGATTTTTCTATGGTGAGCCCATTTCTCTCCTTTGAGGCTTAGAAGTCCATCACCTTCAAGCTGTTTGACAAGTGGGTGAGCCTCATTTTTCTCATAGAATTCAGACTTGGAAGTGAAGATTTCTCGAATTAGGTCCGGATCGGAGACGGTGAGACGAACCGTGGGTCCGAACCACACTAGAAATGTTGAACCTGTGATGGATATCACAAACCATAATTACAAATTACAATTACAATTACAACTAGAGAATGGCGAGTAATTGAAGTTGTAAAAGGTAAAGAGAAGCTTTGCACCCAGAAGGAAATGGCGTAAAGCTTGAAGTAGTAAGTGTCAAGTTTGTTCGAAAGAGGTATGAGAAAGAAGACAGCCACTTATTCACAAGGCATGGATAGTGTAGACCCAGAAAGATCTAGAGAGAGAGAACAAAAACAAAAGAAAGTAGGAAGAAGACAACCCAAGAAGTAAAACAAAAGAAAGTAAGGAAGAAGACAACTCAAACCTGTAAAACACTATCAAACACCATTCAACTTCATTATAAGAAATTTAACCGCCCATTAAAAACAAGAAAAAAAACAAATTATAAGGACATGGGAATCGGAAAAGGTCGTGAAAACTCCATCACCATGATGTTAAAAAATCTCAACGTTATCATTACAAATATGACTCACCGGATGATTGAGGGGAAAGCAAAAAAAATTTAAAAAATCAAAATTACCACTACAAATATCTCACACACACACTATATAGTATATTGGACCAGAAAAGAGGGTACAATTGAAGCAAGAGAGTAAGAATGGAGAAAAATAAGAGTGGAGCACTCAGAAGTCTGACATAAGCATCCAAACTGAGAAGGAAATATATATATACATATACATATATAAGCCTTTCGAAAGCCATGAATGTTAAAACAAGTACACCAAGCTAATGAAACATAATAGCCAAGGCACAAAGCCAGCGTAAAATCAAGAAAATTAGGAGTTAAAAAAGAAAAAGAAAAAAAAGAGCCCACCCTCAACTAATAATTAATATAAATCTAATGGTTGCAAAAAATTCACAATTTTTTTTTTTTTAAAGAAGGATAACAATATATATACATGTATATATTTATATATATCCAAACTAAAATTTCCAAAATAATTTTTTTATGACAGAAATAAATTTCAAAAAAAAAACACACACACACACACGCAGAGACACACATACACAAACAGAGGAGAGGAGAAGTTGAAGATATACATATAGATATATAGAAGAAGAGAAACATACCATAGATTTTCTTCCAGTGATGATAGAAGGAGAGGACTCTAGGGAGAATATTGTGAGAGAAAGGTTGAGGCATGGGTTGAGAAGAGGCCTTCAACATTAGGCTCACAAGTTCCTTAGCATTCCCTATGAAGAAGCGATAAGGGGGTCCTCTGATTCCTTGCTTTGAGAAATGGTCTTCAATCTTTCTGGGTCTCCACCACAGCAAGACACCAAGCTTCAAAACACACACCAACACACACACACAGATGAAGACTAGCTTCAACCCACAAAACAACACCTCCTCTTCCATGTTAAAACTAATCACTACTATATCTATCTCTTTAGCCTCACAACAACACTACTTGTCTGTTTGTGCTTGCTATCTATAAAATGCGGAAAAGCCAGCAGCTTTTCTTTTCTTGTTGGGTGGTGCCCCTTATCTTCTTTTCTTATATGTTTGTTACCTCACTGTGTCTTCTGTTTTTAATACCAACAACTTTAGAGAGAGAAAGAGAGAGAGAGAGAGAGAGAGAGAGCGCTTGGCAAGGCCACCGGCGTAGGGGCCGCCATTGGAATTATACGGGTCAACGAATGATGTAATTTTTTTTAATTTTTTAATCTTCTTAAGACAAGGTTACCCTTGTCTTTTCCAATTAGTATCATTATACCCCTTGAATCTATTTTGTCTTTTCCATCCGGATAAGAATATTATGAAACAACACTGTATAAATTTATATAGTTTTAGAATTTTGAAAGTCTACATGTATTTGTATGTGTGTGTAAGGTATGCATGTTTGGCTAAATTAGTTGATTCGTGTTAGAGAGATTGTTGGATTAAAGGGTTTTTATCTTCTGTTGGAGTGGATAAACTTAACTGTTGGTCTCATTTAGTTTTTTTTTTTTCCTCAATTCTTTTAGTTTAACAAGGATAAAATTTTATATGCATAGTTTGATATGACAATTAGAATGATATAAAAATTTCTTTCACATCTAAACAAATGGGCACAACAATTCACTACTACCACTATGTCTTTCCGCCTTCCACCACCAGAACCATCGTCTCCTGCCACCATTGCATTTTGCCCCTACCACCGCCTTCCGACATTACCACCTTCATCGCTTGAAATTATAATTATACAAATCGATCTAACAAGTATAGCTAAATATCATTTCCTAAAAAAAAAACCTTTTACATGCAGTTCCACAACTGAAAGATGGATGCTTTATATACAAAATCACTGTCAAATAGTATATTTCTGGAATGATCCTCATTCAAGAAATATGAAGATATTTCTGACAATTAGTCCAATATAAAATTGAAGGCATGAATGGAGAGGATAACAGAGGGGCGTGAGTTGTATACTTACAAATATTTTATATATATATATATATATATATATATTCATGGAAGTTGTGTACGTATGTATGTTATTAAATCAGAAACCACTTCGGCCACAAATTTCGTGGTAACAATTAAAAAGGCTCATAACATTGCCCAATGTTGGATTTTTGTAAAAATTAGTTGAAAGAGACATTAAAGGGAATGTCACCAGATTAAACATTATTAACTATGCACCACTAATACTGTCTCGAAGTTGGGTCAAATTCTCATGCTATTTTACAAATATTCCATGTCACCTCTTCCTTTTCCAATCCAAAAAACAATGAGGGTTGTTTTAAATAATATGCTTAAAATTAATACACTCTTAGTCCTTTATTAGTAATTTAATTTTCTCTTTTTACATATCTCAAATTAGTTGTCCTTTTTAAAAAGTCAAAGCATCTTTTTTTTATATTTCCGTCATTATCCTATATCTTTTTAAAAAATTTTAAACTTTGTAACTATATATATTTAAATTAAAAAGAACAATTTAGTAATTTTAAAAGCGGACAATGCATTAATTACATGTCACCTTAAAAAGTTATAAAACTAAAGATGAACAACTAATAAAGGAGGGAGGTAGTAAGTGATTGAGTTATTGAGTTTTACGTGTACTCAAACTGATTGACAATCCAAGTCAGTTTGTACCTTTTCTTAGTAGGAAAATAAATTTGATTAATAAACTCTTAAGTAAGAGTGTGGAAAATTTTATCAAGGGTTTTGTGGTTTAGTAGTATCTCTTTTATCTTTCAAAGTGTATGATAAGGGGTTCGAGTTTTCAAATGAGCAAATTATGTGGGTGAGTGATGCGTGTGAATTTCTTGCTAATGCCAAAAAAAAAAAAAAAATTGAGGAAATTTCGTAAGTCTCTGTTCAACTCCTCTGCTCTCATATATAATAATAATTCAGTCTCTGTTTATAGGAAGCTTAACGCACACAAGGGCACATGAATCAAATCTCTGGACCATATTTGCCATTTGCTCTTCCCATAACCTGTCTCGATCATAACTTTTGAGTTCCCTTCTATTTCAATTGATTTAATGAACATCCTTGTAGCCATAAAAATTAAAATTAAAATTAAAAAACTATCTTTTAAGTACCAAAATTTTATCAATGGAACAGAAGATCTTCCATAATTGGAAGATGCAGACTCCATAACTCTTACCGTAGTAACATATATACCCCACCTGCCTCACCATTAAATTGTGTACTCACTTTCACTCTCTATCTGTATATTCTACTACTTTTAACTTCAATACTATGTAAAGTCAACACTTAATCAAAATTGCTTGTAAAATACTAGGTAGTAACTGGTTCAAATTATGTGAGAGTCAAAGTGATTATATGAGTTTCTTGTCAAAAGAGACCTAAATAATTCTCTTAAATGTATTTCATGTGATATTTGATTATATAACGTTGTCGTTTTTCAAATATAAATACGAGTATGATGCAGAATGTAACTTTTCTTTTAACATTCACAATTGATCATTGAAAAGCCTTAAATTATGGTATCATTTGATTTTTGGTTACTTCGAAAAATTCTAGTCACAAATGAAAAATCATTGAAAGGATGAGCCTCAGACAAATTTGATGAGTTTAAATTCCATGAATATGATTTCAAAATCATTTGCCTAATTTGTGGTGTAAAAGCATGAGGGTAATTAGCTAAGATGGGCTAAATTATTGTTGGTTGTTCCCCAAAAGATGGTCTGGAAGGGTAGAACGAAAAGGGGCACAAAGGTGGTTTGTGAATTTGGAATGTTGCTCTTAAATTTGGTGCACATGGGAACAAGGCTGTCTATTTAAGGGTTTCTTTGTGTGCCCTTTGGTGGGGGATATATGCTTTGGTTGACCCAACAATGGCTGGCCTCTCAAAGGCCAATTCCCCTACTCTTGTCTTAATAATCCCAAGACATGTTTGTTTCATGTGCCCTTCATGGGTCCTACGTTTTCAAATACATGTTCAACCGCTACATTTCAAGAGTTAAGGGGCCGAGAATACCGTAGCTGTCTCATTTCAACTACTACTAGTATACTTGGGAATGGATTTTCAGGTATTAATTTTACAACTCTAAGACGTCACATTAATACTTTATTTAACTAATGAATATGGTATGAATTAGAGAACAAAGTTTCGAGTCTCATGTTTTTCAATCTAACTTTCATATTAAGGAACAGTTTCCTTCTTATAATTGAATTATTTTCTCAAAACCAGACAATCTTTCTCTTAAAAAATATGAAGGATTCGTCTCTCTTGAAAAACAGTGTCACTTACTATCTTCATAAAAATCAATCTCGCACAGCATGGATCTTTGTAAATTGGAGTTATTTTAAGGGTTTATGTAGAAATCTCAAATTTGGGCAATACTAATTTTTCTAGAATTTGTGAATAGGAATATAGGTATGATTAATCTTGCAAACCTCTAGTTGTAACAATCAAAAATTGTTGATGGTAGAGGAAATCGAAAAAGAAAGTTTTAGAACGGTGAGAAAGTGTCGTAAAAGCGTATTTAAGTATATTCACTAGTTAAATAAGTTGTTGATGTAACGCTTTAGTAGTCGTAAAATTAATACCTGTAAATACTTGAAGAGAATCCGTTCCTGTATATTTGGACATTTCATCTCATTACAATATAATATAGAGAGAGACACACACTTCCAAAAACTTCTGAACTCTTAGATGAGATAATATTAGATTATAGTTCTTGATATTATACGTTTAAAGAAAACCATCATTCATTTGTTTGAGTTGGATATTAAATTGAAAGATTTAAGTAGGAAGGGACAAAATAGATATATATATATATATATATATATATATATATATATATATATATATATAAAATTAAAATAAAAAAAGAGTGGCGGTTAGGGGATTAATGCCCTAAACATCTAGTGACAAGGTGGAGCCATATGCCTTGTCTAACGGGGCCTAAGGCACTTGATTTATGGTTATGGAAACACTTATGAATCCCAAATAATTATACTAAAATACTCATCAATGCTACCGGTATTATTAATGAGTTACAAGAAAAGGTTATAAAATTCGTATGTTAATAGTTAGTGAATTAGTGAAAGCGACTCCAAATCATATATGTTTGTTAATTTTTATTATTAATTTAAAGTGTGAAAAGTTAAATGAACCATACATATGATATGTAAGATTGTTCTACCACTGACAAATATTTGACCACTTGAATATCTCTTCATGCCTATAGCAAATAGATGGTTAGAGTCCACGGATTAGTGATGACCTTAATTAAACCACAACCTTAGACAGTAATTGAAACACTCTCTCTATCCCCTTAGTTTTTGCTGGGAGTTGGGAATTATCCTTACTATTATTCCTTAGTACTACTACAAGTAAACACGGATTTTCATTGAATATTTTAAGGAAGATCTGAAATTGTCCTTGGGTGCCTCTTTCTTTGTCTAACTTTAGTGTGATTGAGTTGGTGGAAATGAAATTTTGTGTGCCAGAATAAATTTAATAAAATAAAATAAGTGTAAAATTAGAATGAAGTTTTGGATTCAAAAAACTTACTGGAACCTGTCAAAAGGACAAGAGCAAATCATGACTTAAGACCATGTGGAATTTTCGAAAATGAACAATAACAGCCAGCCAAAAAGCCTGTTGCAACTACTGTATTTTCAATATTTATCCATTTTACTTTTATACTTTATAATCTGTTTTTGTCTCTATGTTTTTTATGTCAGATGATAACAGAAAAGCAGCAACCCGTTACACTTTTGATGGGAAAAGGACATATGATTTGTACTGTATCTATAGCAATTGGTTCTGTTATTGGTTTTTGAAGAAATTTCCTAGCACTAATTATATTGGTTTAATCTTTTCAGTTAAAAAAAAAAAAAAAAAAAAAAAAAAAAAAAAAAAAGAACTCACAAATCATTCAATATTGCATTTACTTAGAAATAATTTTTTAAGTGATTTTGTTCTTTTTCTTGTTGTATATTGAAAACACAGCTACAATGTAAAAATTACACTGTTAATTCCAATATTACTTTGTTGTTATTGTTGTGATTGACACTTGTATATATAATCTGAAATGTATGACATTCAAGAATGTTTATATGTTATTTGGAATGACATAAACTTTTCTAGAATAACATATTT